CAGTGTGATCTGACTAATGGAATAATCTTCTAATCCATATTCATCTTTGATTGACTCCAAGATACCAAATACCTTCGGGGCAGCAGAAGAAATCACTGTTATCAAAGCCCCTCACAGGGATGAATGGGGGAAAATACTGTTAGTGAGAAGAAGGTAGCTATGTTTACTCTCTCCTGACATGAACCTGGAGACTCCTTATGAAGCCAATAAATCCCAGTTAGAGAGGAAGAGTCCTGCCCATCTAATCCTCTGTTGATGGCAATTTCCCAGGATAGTGTGATTTTATAAATCTCACACCTGCTGACACAGAACTCATCTATTTACGTCCTTGAATTACAAACAACTCCTAACAGTCTGAGATAATTTAAGGCTAAAATATATATTATAAAATTGCTGTGGTGAGCATTGGGAAAAAAAAATACTGGCTTTACAAAGTATCTACAGAAGGGAAGAACTGATTCCAGATCTAGAAGGCATTCCAAATGGAATTAGGGTTGACTGAAATCTCTCAGGTGCCTGAATCTGAATGTTTCAAATTTTCTACCAAACCTAAGGTCAAATACCTCCTTATGGCTTTAGGAAGGCCTGGTACCACACTCACCTTTCCCCAGGTAAAGTCTTGCTGGGTATGTGGTAATGGACCATCCCTTCGTGCTCATGTGTTAGGGAGCTGTCTGAGAAAGGGAAAGAGACACTTTTTGAGAGGGATAGGGTTAGAATGAAGGCCATTTCCTGGCATGTGTATTTTTGAAACCAAAGCAAAGTTATAACCAAAAGAAGAAATAGGTTGAAAGCTCCTAATTTAAAAAAATCAACAACATATTAATATTGCTTGCAGATTTATCTTTTTAATTACATTTGACTTTGCTAAATACATCCCTATTTTCTGTGATTCATAAAAATGTGTAGGAGATTTTATTCAGCCATAAAGAATTAAATTATGGCATTTGTTGGTAAATGGAGAACAACATGCTAAGTGAAATAAGCTAGACTCAGAAAATCAAGGGTTGAATATTTACTCTCATATATAGAAACTTAGAGAAAGTAAGGGGAAAAAACAGGAGGTCAGACATCATAACGACAGAGGGAAAAAGAGGAGGGATGGGAAAGGGGAGGAAATGCAGAATGAAGTTGACAAAATTACACTATGTGCATGTATAAATATACCACAGTGAATTCCATCTTTATGTCTGTCAACAGCAATTAAAATAAATAAATGAGTGGAAGGAAAAAATGTATATAGGTGGCAAGAGAAAAACTTTATCAAGGTACAAGGTCCTCTGTCACTTCATTCTTGACTCTTTTTTTTCCTCTAAAATTAATTTTTTGGTCTTATAATATTTGAAGGAGAAATCTTTCTCTGTTTTATGTGAAAAATAGTTAACATTCTAGTAAGAACCCCTGGGTTCTACCCTTGTGGACTCTTGGTGGGAATGAAAAATGGTATAGCTGCTACAGAAAATGGTATGAAGGTGCCTCAAAAAATTAAATTCAGTATTATCACATTTCAGCAATTCTGCTACTGCGTATGTAGCCAAAAGAATTGAAAGTAGGATCTTGATGAAATATTTGCATACCTATGTTCACAGCAATGGTACAGACACACAATAGACAAAAGAATGGATAAATAAACACGTATATACATATGATGGAATATAATTCAACCTGAGACATAATACAATATGGATGAACCCGAGGAAAATCATGTTAAGTGAAATAAGCCAGCTGCAAAAAGACAAGTAACTGTATGATTCCACATGAAGTATCTGGAGCAGCCAAAATCTCAGAAACAGTAAAACAGTGGTTTCCAGGTGCTAGGCAGTTGTTTGAGGGGTGGAAGGTTTCCGAAGTTTTGGAGATTGGTCTCACAATATGAATATACTTAATACTACAGAACTGTACACTTAGAAATGGTTAAGATAGTAAGTTTTATGTCATGTATTTTTTTTACCACAATGAAAATAGCATAATTCCATTTCTAATACATTTTTTATCATACACATTACATGTCAAAAGTGACTTTTAAACATCACTGGGTTCCTTGCAGTTTAGAAGAAAAAAATATCATTGAAAACATGCACACAGCTCATAGTTTTGACTCAAAGGGATGATAATTTCAGTGTTTTTAAGGCTACAATTGTATCCCGAGATTAACTGTATTTTTAAAATACTAAAGCAAAGACACTTGATCCTTTTCAGAGAGGCAGCTTGAGAGAGAACCCAATCTTTACCATTTGATTCAAATTTGGATTTTATCACATGGTATCCTCAAAGAATGAAAAACTAGAACAACATAAAGAGGCCTCTATTTTCTGTGTAGGGCAATGCTAGTGGTGGTGGCTGTGTGTACCAAGAGCAAAACAAATTAAGGCCATGTAATGACAAAAGAGACTTTTTTTGGAGCATAAGGATGGAGAGTAAAATGACTGAAGGCAGGAGAAAGTCATTCTAAAAAGGTTTCTGACCAGTTGTGAAGGGTGAAAGCACAGAAGAATTCTCCTTATCCCCCAGAAGATTTTAAGAGTCAAAGAGAAATGGTTTTACTGTGAAAGAGAACAATGAAAGATTGTTGAGAAGCATTTCAAAATGCGATTAAAATTCAGAATTCAGAGAATGAAATGTAATTGTGCTATTGAGATTATTAAGAAAATATTAACTATTATGAATTAATATTGTAATTTTTTCTGTTTATGGATATGCCTTAATCATTAGGCTGCAAACATCATGAAGTCAGGGGTCCTGTCTTATTTACCTTTATAGCCTTAGAACCTAGCAGTGTCTGGCAAATAGTAGCCTGTCAAGATAATGTTAATGAAACTAAAACTAGTCACCTAGAAATTATCCCATTCTAAATGCCCAAGTAAAGTCCCACTACCTCAGTGAAGCCCTCCTCTATGATGCATTAGCCCCCATTTCTCTTCCAAATTTCTATACCACTTTTATCTATGTCACATGGTCCTGTACCTAAACCATGTCTACCCTGTCTTATATCCAAGTAGCTTAAGGATAAAACAACTTTAAAATATTAAACATTGCAATTCTACCCCATTTTATTTCTGTAGGAAAAAATAACTGGGAATATATAGTATACTCCATACTTATTATGTCTTAGATAGGTATGACAGTGAAGTGCATGGCCATTTAGCTTGGCAAATCTATGCTCATAGCAGAACTGAACTAGAAAGTGTCCTCGTGGGACAAATTGTTTTCAGTACGATACTGTAGATAGAGGGAAACAAAGACTGAGTGTAGGATTGGAAGGAGGAAGCATGACAGACAGATGGAAGAAGCTTAAGTAAGAAGCTTAAGCAAATAGTGGGAAAGCTACAGATTAAAGCTTATCAGCTTGGCCAACTCTGAACTGCCCAGTGGGTCTGTCCCTTCATACAACATCCTAGGCTAGGCTAAACAACAGCCCTTTTAGTTTACTTGTGGGGAAAATAATACTCTCAGCAAGGAGGAAGTTGAGGCACTAAGATATTGACAATTACATCAAAAATTTTTTAGAAGAACATAGGATTTTTGGTAATTTTGAAACATCTGAACTTTATCATGGGGAAGTCAAACATGAGCCAGACATCTGAATTCTTTTCCTCATCTTTGTGACCAAATTTGATTGATCAAGGCCCAAGAAATAAGGGTATAAACACATAGGAAGTTTTATAATGGGCCAGGATCCAATTTTATTTCTATGAAGGTAGGCAAGGAGATGGTTCCTGCCTTAATGGAGTTTATATGTGAGAAAGATTGTCAATTAGACTAGAAATTACATTAAGTATGAAAAGTTCTAAGGCAAGTATGGGAAAAGCATATCACTAGTCTGAACTCTGAAGTCAAACTGATCTTTCTGAATGCAATCTGATCATGTCACATTCTTGCTTTCAGCAAAAATTTATTGAATACCTACTATGTGCCAGGGCCTGTGCTAGGCATGATGATATGATGAACTACAGGAGACAGAAGTAAACCATACAATTCCAAGTTCAATGAGTATTAAAAAATGCTATGAAAGTACATGACAGATGGAAGTAGGGGTATAGCACTGGTAAGAGAAAGAAGGCTTCTGTAGGAAAACAACAATATTCAAACTGAGATCTTAAGAATGATTAAGTAGGAGTTGGTTGTGTGTGTGAGCGAGGAGGATGGGGGCAGGGAAGAGAGGAAGAGCTTCCCATCACTCTTGGCATAAAGCCTAAACTCCTTAATATCCTTATAAAAGATCTTTATGGCATGACCCTTTTCTATCTCTACACTATGATTTGAGCATAAAGAATAGACTGAGAACAGGGCAAAAGTAAATCCAGGGAGACATCTTGGAGACAGTTTCAGTAATTGGGGAGGTAATACTTTTCCTAAACTCAGGTGACATTCATGACATATGGATACATATTTTCTGGAAGTTCATCAGGAACTAGATGGAGCTGTTTTATTCTGTTCTCTCTTACAAAGGAGAGCATAGTTTTGTCGGCCAAGAGGCAACAGTACTTGAGTGCCAGACTTAGGCAGGGGCTCCTCCCTTCCCACAGGGGCTCTCAGATGTCTTCCACTGCTTGATATGAAAAGAGCTTTAACAACCAAAGGTGACAGGGAAGGCCCAGAGCAAATCTGAAACTGCGAACCACTCTGGTCAAATCCCAAAGAGAGAGGATACATTTGTAGGGATATATTGGTTGGTTATGACTAAGCATGGTCTATCATTTAGGTAGGCAGGAAATTTTAAAAAGTCTCTAGACATTGTGAGTTTTATGTATGGCTCTGTGCCAAATTTTAAATGGAAAATGAAGAGGTCTGTTGTTCTAGTTAACATTCCTTGGTGTACCTTGGTTAAGGTAGCAGGGAGAATTTTTTTTTGGTATTGCAGAATGAACCCAGGGGTGCTTTACCACTGAGCTACATCCACAGCCCTTTTATTTTGAGACAGGATCTTGCTAAATTGCCCAGGCTACCTTTGAACTTCAGATCCTCCTGCCTCAGCCTCCTGAGTCGGGGATTACAGGTGTGTTCCACTGTGACTGGCACAGGGAGATATTAAAAACTGAAATCAACAGTTAGTACATTAATAATTATTTTGTGGTTATGGAGTCACAAAGAGAAGAAAGCACTGTAATTGCTTAATGACAGAGGGGTTGCTGAGGGTCTTATTTCTACATCATTGGGGTGGAAAGCTTGGGAACTCTGTGTCTCAACAGAAGCTTGATTAGGAAGGTTGTGCCTGAGCTCCAGTACCTGGAAAGGTTGTTTTGATGAATGTCTTGAGCTCTTGCATTTCTGTCTGCTTATCTCTCTTGGTTTTGGCTAGTACAGTGTATCCACTTCCATACTTGTTCTTGAAATACTGTGGACTGCCTAGGCACTTGAACTTCCCATTTACCATAATGGCCAGTCTCAAACACAGGGCCTCACATTCTTCCATACAAGGAGCCAGAAAAAGATAGGGCTGGAGAGGCCCACCATGGCAGGGTAAAGACTAAGATTCTAAAGGACTATGTTCTAGTATTATTGGTATTCAAAAAGAAAGTAAATAAGGGATCAGATATATTCTGTATAGATAAAATAAAAACAAGAACCAAGTGTCAGAAGCTTAAATCTATAGTATAGTCAGTCTCAACCTATTTCTACTTCCCTACTTTTGGACATACTATTGCAAAGATCTCATCCAAGGATCCTCAAATGTTTCCTCTGGAAAGAGTCATTTACTGTAAATTCTCTGAGGTATCAAAAGACCCTGGCAAAGTCATTACTGTCCTATGTTCTTAGAATCAACCAAGTCTCCATGGTACTCCCCTCCTCTCCATCCCTCAATCAAGATATGGGCCACACCTATGGGAGATTAGGACAATACCCTTGCTGGACTCACGGGTCCATAAGACTGTGTCCCAGAAGAAGCGTCGGGCCACAGGATCCATGCCAGAAGATGGCTTATTGAGGAAGATGATGTCAGGCCTTCCCAGCAGGGCAATACCTGTACTTAGCTTATGCTTGGTGCCACCACTCCATCAGGAAGGATTTAAAGAGAAAAGGAAGGAGGAAAGGAGGTTGTAAGTTGCAGTAACTTCTATGTAGTATTCAAATTGCTGAGAAGCATGTAACAGATACTATGAATGTGCCCTACACTTATCCCTAGTGGGCACATGCATACACACTCACATATATACACACATTTAAAATTAATTAGCTATAATGTATATACACACATACTTAACTCACACAGAAGTAAACTCATTTGTTTCTATTTTTGGTAAATGACTAAATGATATTTGAATGAATAACAAAAGCCTCTTTTGCTGAGGAAACTCTCCTGGTCTAAAGTAAGCTCTCCCAATTAGAATGGGTGAGGGAAAATCCATGCAGATAAGGCATACTCTTACCTGTAGTTTTTGATGAGTTCATCTGCAAAGGCATCCAGGAGAAGTGCTCTTAGTATGTTTTTAACATAAGCAGGAATATATTGCTTGGGAACTCCTCTCAAATAGGCATGCAAGGCCAGCATCTCATACCCTGTTAAGTGTTCCAGCAAGGGGTTATATGGGGGGCAGTAGCTGATTCACTGACAAATCTGAAATAGAAGAACATAAGGAAGTAATGGATCCAAAGCAGCAGTTTAATACTGAAAGAAAATTCTATCCATTTTTTTAAATTTTTTATAACAAAGGATTAAGATGGGGTCCCTTTTCATTTTAGAAAGATTTTCTCCCTACTTCTTCTTCCCCCCATTCCCCACTGTGGATCATGTATGACTGCTGCCTAGAAGTGGAGGATTCTATGGTAAATCCCCAATATTCAACTGAAGTTCATTTCAACTTCCAGATAAAAGTATTCATTGAGCACACATGGACTAAATGCTATGTGAAGTACTTATAATCTTACTTGGAAGAGGATGTCTGTTTTTCTTATACACATACATCAGAAAGTAGTAAGATAATAAATTGAGGTAGTTATGTCAAAGTACCTCCATAAGACAGGTATAAGCAGTAAGTTCGATGGAAGAGAAAATTTGGGAGACATGAAACACACCTTTAGACATCTGAAGGGTTGTCACACCAAGGGTTTTCACACTATGATGGACTGTTTATGGCTGCAAGTCAGAGAAGACAAACAAAAAAAAGCTTTGTAGGGCTGAGGATGAAGCTCAGTGGTCAAGTGCTTGCCTAGCATGCTGGGGCTTGCTGCCCCAGTACTGCAAAAGAAGTAGTGTCTTATGGACCCGTGAGTCTGGCAAGGCTATTTTCCTAACCTCCCATAGGTGTGGCCCATATCTTGATTGAGGGATGGGGAGGAGGGGAGTTACACAGTACCATGGAGACTTGGTTGATTCTGTCCCAGTACTGCAAAAGAAAAAAAAAAGCAAAAACCAACCAAACAAAACAAAACCCCCAAAAGAAACAAAAGCCCAAAATTTTTGGAATATAGCTATTCAAAATGGAAGTGTTCTACCAGGGATGGGAATGTAGCTCAGTGTTGTCTACGAGACCCAGCACTGCAAAAAACAAAAGAAAATTATTAAGTGTCCTATGTTTCTGATAGTACCCAACTTTCTCATGGAACTTGAACTAGGCAGCAAAACTCAAAAGCCTAACCAGCTTGCATAACATATGCAGGTAAAGTATAGGAAAGCAGTGGCCAGGAATTAAATGAGTGGCAGAGCTTGCTACAACAACAGTTAAGGGACCCATTTAAGGGAGGGAGCTACTACTCAGTGCTAGCCAATTGTTTCATTCAGGAAGTCAGATCCAGTATTATTATCAGATCTTCTTATTTTTTAAGAGAAGACAAAAATATTTTTATGTGCAATAAATTGATTTAAAAATGCAGATCCTCTTTGATTAACGATGAGGTTATATCTGGACAAACCCATCCCAAGTTGAAAATATCTAAGTCAAAAATGCACATAATACACTCAACCTACAAAGATATCATTGGGCTAGTAAAATAGTACACTGTAGAGTACTGGTTGTTTACCTTTGTGATCTTGTGATTATCTAAGAGTATTATATTATTCATCACTAGCCCAGGGAAAAAGACCAAAATTCGAACTATGGTTTCTTTTGAATGTGTTGCTTTCACACCATTGTAAGTCAGGAGCTATATATGTATTACGAACTGCTAAATGTTTGTGCCCCACCAAATTATGTGTTGAAACACTAACCCCCACACCAAGGCAAAGGTAGTGTCTTTTGGAAGGTGATTGTGATTATGAATTACCTCGCAAAAGGAAAAGCCCTTATCAATGGGATTAGTGCCCTTATAAGGGAGCTTGTTTGCCTCTTCCAAGAGTGAGTAGTGCCACAATGAAACATAAAGTGGGCCTTTAACAAACTGCCAGGCCTAAAAGTGCTTTAATTTTGGACTCCCTAACTTCCACAATTGTGAGAAATAAAAATTTTGTCAACTACCCATATGGATGGAGACAGTAAGAATAGAGGAAGGACTATACCACTTTAGAGGACTTTATACTTCAGGATTTCCATTATTGCTTTTCTAATTTCTTGTAAAGCTAAAACACAATAATAGAAAAAGCATCCTTTTTGAAGTTAATTTTAATTAATTCATACTCTAATTATCCCCATCACTGTCACGTGTTAACTTCATATTTGACAAAATACCTCAGTCTCCCTGTTTTCTGAATCTTCCATCTTGGTCTATATTTAAGCTTATATGGTTTAAATGAGTTGGTGGAGTCTGTACAACAAACCCTTCCTTACCCTAGCCCCCCCAAGTTCATTGATTTCAACTCTAACAATCTTTTTAAAAATACATTTTTAGTTGTCGATACACCTTTATTTTATTTGTTTATATGTGGTACTGAGAATTGAACTCAGTGCCTCACAAATGCCAGGCAAGTGTGCTACCACTGAGCCCCAGCCCCTCAACTCCAACAATCTTTATATCATCTTAATTTAAGCCCCCCTCAGATCACTCATTATTTGGAACCATTGTCTCTCTGAATTTAACCTTGGGCTCTAATGACCTATATTTATTTGAATATGCCAAATTTGCTTGTCTTTTGCCCTTCTCATGTTTTTATTTTTGCCAAGGATGCCTGGTTCCTCCCCTCCATCCCCTTTTTCTTAATGACTCATGCTTAATTCCTGAAACTTAGTCCAAGCTTTCATCAAAGGGGTTTCCCTATTCCTATTCATAACAGATGAGGTATCTGTTATCTCTCTGCTCTGCAGCATAGCATACCTACTTTGTCATAACACATGCCACCTTATATTAAAATAGCTTCTTCATCTGTTTCTTTCATAAAGCTGTAAGCTCACTGAGTGCAAGGACCATGTTGTTTTTAGTTCTGTAATTCCAGCAGCCACCATAATGCCAGAAACATAATAAATACTTCAAAATATGCTGAACTACAGAAATGATCTCTGAAAGTATAACAGGATATAATAAATGTCTCAGAAGCATCACTAATATTAAAGTAAAGCATTTCCCCCACGAAGTTGAATTTGAAAAATAAATTTCCTTCTGAAGTTTGTGATAAAACATTTTAAAATGTTCCAGAGTTAAGTCTTATACTAAGTTAAGTCTTAGTAATGCTGTGTTAAGTGTGTGATAATCTACATGTGCATATGTGATGAGTTATAAGTGAGGAACACAGGTCTACTAGAAAAGATAACTTTTCTTGATAAAATTTGGGAAGGCCCTCTTTTCTTCTCACATGGGATATTTTCATGGAGATGTGGTGACTCTTTAACATGTGGACATGAGGGGAAGAAAAAAAAAAGCCAGGATGATAAAGCAAAAGCTAGATAGAAACTTGAACAATGTTGATATTTCTGAGCTGCTATATTAAACTTGGAATTGTCTGTTCTAACTCATGAGAGATAATTAAACCTCTAGCTTTGGAACTGAAACAATGTTGAATGGCCTAGGGATAAGGAAAAGATCATCTTGGGAGAGTGAAGCTTTAAGCTACAGTATTTCTCCAGGTAAAAGGTTATAAAAGGCATCAGCATATAGCATTTTGATTGATGTTATAAATCTCAATACTATCTTGGTTGTAAAGTTTATTGGCAGATGTGGAGGGTTTCATTGCTCTGTCCAACTTAGCAGCTTGTAGAAACCGCTTCCCTCTTTTCTGATAAATGTCATGTTCTATGCCTGTGTTGTCCTAGGTCCTGTGGCTGCACAGTGACTAAAACAGATGCAGTTCTTTTCTTTATGAAAGTTTATAATATTCTTGGGGAAAAAAGTTTTTTCTTTTATCACGAGTCTTCCATATAGCATTTTCACTGGGAGTATTAAAGTAAATTCTCTCAAGGACAGTACATATTTAGTACCATTCTAGACATGAGGGAAATAAAGTAATTTGTTATATACAACAGATACATTAAGATATTAGGGAAAACTCTTCTAAACCCTAGGTGAAAAGAAGGGCAACATATCATTTTAAAATTCTCATAAATTCATAGCACTTACTCCTGTCATCTTTGTATTGATATTTCTGCCACCAATTATGGCCTCCCCAGAGGTGATGGTCTCATCTCCAGTCAACATTTTGAGGGTGCTGCTTTTCCCAGCTCCATTGAAACCAAGCAGTCCAAAACACTCCCCTTTATTAACTTTAAACGTTAGCTTATCTACTGCCACAATAGGCACACAGTGAAAATATATCTAAGGAAACAAACAGCAAACAGAAGCTTGAAGTCTAAGAGGGAAGCTATATTCCCCTTTGTTCTAATAGTTGTTCAGGAGAATATTTAATTTCCACATATTTATGAATGTTTTAACCTTCCCTCCTATTTTTTATTTCCAGCTTCAGATCACTGAGGTCTGGGAAATTATTTAATGTTATTCCAATCTTCTTGAATTTGTTAGGTTTTGGAGAATGTTCTGTGTGCACTTGAACTACTCTTTAGATCAAATGGACTTAAGGGACATATATAGATCATTCCATTCACAGCAACCTAATAGACTGTTTTTTTACATTTTCAGGCCTTAGTATATATAAAATGTTTTTCTTTTTCTGGTCAGAAAAAATTTATTTCCAAAGTTCCCATGACATTTGGCAGAGGATTATTTTTTGTTGTGATTATCACTACTCACTTAAGGAAGACTTCTTCCATGGTTGTGATAGAAGCACCAAAACTGGCAATGCCCAGCTTTACTCCATGATTTTCCAGCTCAGCGAACAAAGTTTCAAACCTAGGAAGAGTAAATAAGGGGAATATTTTAGGTTAATTTCCAATATTTCCTTGTTGCTAAAATACTTTCACTACATTATTGAAAAACATTCATTGGTTTGCTCTGGAAAACAATAACTATACAAAGGTAGGAAGGAAAAGAGCCAAATCTTTTCTGTAGTAGTGAAATAATAGTTTTTTGAAAGCTCCATAAGTCTTTTCACTTTTTTTGTAGTACTGGAGACTGAACCTAGGACCTTGAGTATACCAAGTAAATGTTATACCACTGAGCTACACACTAGCCTTTGCTTGTTAAGTGTTAAATGACTGGTCTTAGGATACAACAGAAGCAGAGAAAATATATTTTTTAAAAATATTTTTAGTTGTAGATGGACACAATGCCTTTATTTATTTCTATGTGGTGCTAGGGATTGAACCCATTTGCTTCACATGTGCTAGGGAAGCGCTCTACCACTGAGCTACAACCCCAAGCTGGAAGCAGGGAAAATATCTTATATTGTTATAGTATTTTCAGAACCACCAAAATATGGTTTGATAATAAAAATTTTGTAAAGCAGGGTTTATTATCTCCGTTTTACAAAATCAGAAACTAAAACTCAGGTTAAATGAACTTTAAATTTATATTAGTATTTGGTAGAGCTGAAATTTAAGCTTTATTTCTAGTACTTTCATAGTTTTCTATTGAAAAAAGCGTTCTTTCTACAATATTCTAAGACATGTGATCCTAGTGTTAGAATAGTTAATGCAGGAGTTTTCTTAGGTATTGCCTCACACTTTGGTAACAATAGATTATAACTGTTACCAGTACAACTGATGAAGTCACTGGAATCTAGTAAAAGTAACTCTAAACATAAGTGATTGCTTAAAAATTATAGAACCAGAAGAGCTCAAACTTTGTATCAACCATCCATTTACTATCTATTGTTAAGTATAGGAAACGAGAGAAAAGCTCATGTGCACATAAATTGCAGCTTAATGAATTATGAAATGAACATCTTTGTAACTCCTAAGCTGGTAAAGAAACAATATTGCTAAGTTACATCAAACTTTCCACATTCTTCCTCCTGATCATAACCCTTTTTCCCTCAATACATGACATTCCATTTTCTCTATTAGTTCTCTTTTTTCTATTCCACATTTCTATTTTTTAAATAAATGTAAGGTTAGTGCTAGTTTACTATATTTTTATTCAGTTATATTTATACTAACTCATCCACTGAATTTTTAAATTTGTTTATTATATTTTTCAGTTTTATCATATATGTTATTTTCCAGTCCTAATATTAAAATGTTATTTTTTTTGTTTTGTTTTGTTTTTGTACCAGGGATTGAACTCAGGGCATTTGACCACTGAGCCACATCCCCAGCCTATTTTATGTAGAGACAGGTCTCATTGAATTGCTTAGGGCCTAAGTTGCTGAGGCTGGCTTGGAACAAGCTGCTGGGATTACAGGTGTGTGTCACCATGCTCGGCCTAATGTTACTTTTTACTGTTTTAATTCCTTGCTAAAAAAAAAACTGAATATGCATATTTATTTTACAGTATGTACTTCATCAAATGGACTTAAGGGACATATATGGGTATGTCTGTTATTTCTAAGTCTGGTTCCTGTTGTGCTTTTCATTATCTTTGGTTATTTTCCAGTCATCTTATTTTAAAAATTACTTTTAGAAGTTGAAATGAGAATGATGTTATCTTCTTCCAGTGAGAGTTTTCCTTTCCTTCTACAAGGGACCTAGGACATTACCAGTCTGAACCAAGGAATGAAGTCATATAGACAATTTTTAAATCGCAGACTAGAGAGGAAAGGTTAGGTGTAGATCCTCAGGGTCTCTCTAATAAAAACAGACTTCTGATTTTGTCTCCTGATCCTTACCACTGTTGTTAACTGCTAAAAGTTAGTCTCCACCTTTTATCTGCCTCCTCTCATTCACCAAAAGCTATCATGTTAGGTTTTTGATAGTTTAAGAAGATATTTTAAAACTCTGGTTCTAATAGCTATAGGTCAGTAAATAAGGGTTAGAAAGGCAGGTGAAGGACTAGAGAATTTATTAACCAGGCAATCTGAGAAACCAGCTGCTGGAATGTGATTTTTTAAATGCATCATTTTCTATATGCTTTTTTTATTGTTGGTTGTTCAAAACATTACATAGTTCTTGATATATCATTTTTCACACTTTGATTCAAGTGGGTTATGAACTCCCATTTTTACCCCGTATACAGATTGCAGAATCACATCAGTTACACTTCCATTGATTTACATATTGCCATACTAGTGTCTGTTGTATTCTGCTGCCTTTCCTATCCTCTACTATCCCCCCTCCTTTCTATATGCTTTTAAAATAAAAATTTAAAATGAAAATAATGGAACAGCTCTAGGTTTTCTTGGCTGCATACCTATTTACGTACTCTTTAGGTAAAATAAATGATAATTCAGCTCCAATATTGTTCTCCAAAATGGCACTTGGTACATAATGATATATAAGACAGGCAATTTCTCCAGCTTTACAATATGGTTCTTTCACTATGACCATGTGGTATCCTGCACCTGCGAGAAATAATTAAGAAGAAAAGTATCAGTTTTGCATTTCTAGCTTTTCTTGTTTGTTGTGACTTAAATTTTTATGTTTGGGTTAAAGACAAATTTTGCAGAAAAGAAGAAATGAATGCCTGCCACATATGTTTTTGTCATAATAGTACTTTTCTAAATGTTGTGCAAAGAGCCTTATTTATTGTTCCTTCATCAAGGAATAGGAAATGTGAAGAATAGGAGGAAATGAGACAGCCCTCCTACCCTCGTCTGCCACAAGAAGTTCCCCTTTAATATTAGAGATATGAGAGTCTGGATTTGTTGAATACCTACAAAGACAACTCTTCTTTGGTACTGATTAAATGTTATTTATTTATTCTGCTACTGTCTTAGGGATTAATAGTGATTTTGATTCAGAATTTACATGTACAGGTGATAAAAAGTTCATAAGAGAAAGTCTCTGTGACCTTGCTTCTCATTTTCCCTACAATTCTATGAGAGATATACACTAATAAGTCATCAATAATTCACCCTTACTAGCTCTTAACTTTCCTTTAGATTTTTATTGCAGTTGAACACCTGCTTTCTCTTTATAAATCCTTAGTTCTCTCATTTTCCTTTTTTTCCAACTACTTATATCATTTTTACCCCTGTGCTTTTCCAGTTGTTTTTAACTTGATAAGGCTATGCTTAACATTATAGACAGCTGAAATTTATCAAGTTTCCATTAGGAGTACACCAAATGGTGAATTTTGGAAATGTGATATTCTAATACCCTCTAGATGGTACAAAGATGGTTGATAAGAAGTCATAATGAAATAAAACTCATGATGGCATATTCTTATTTTCCCAGTCCCTGTTTCTGATTGTAATAAGGATATTTAAATTATATTAATGAAGGAACAGATCATGTGGTGCTAGGGATGTGTGAACTCAAGTTGTCCTTCTAGTGCAATTATCTATTTTTCTTTCTTTTAAAAAATCATTCATCCATCCAACCATATGGGAGAGTAATATATTCTAGGTGAAGGGGAAAACCAAATGAATAGTAGGAATGACCTGAGCCGATTAATACTGAGAAGTAATAGGAAATAAGATTGGCTAAGTGAAGGTTAGATTAGACACCCCAAAAGAGGAAAAAACAACAATAGAATTTAAGCTTGATACAATAGGAAACTGAGTAATACTATAAACAGAATTTTATGTTAATGCAGTGCTGAAGGAAAATAAGTCTGGTAGTAGAAATAATAGAAAGGTCATAAATTAATAGAATAATGAAGATTTGAAAAAAACCATATTTTTGCTTGAGGAACAATGAAGAGCCACAGCACTGCAAGTCCCCTTTGGCCATGATGGCAACCCGGTCACCCAGAAGATCTGCTTCATCCATATAATGAGTGGTAATCAGGATGGTACGGCCATTTTTTTTTCTGCTGAAGGAGATCCCAGGTGGCTCTCCTTGAGACCAGATCCATTCCAGTGGTTGGCTCATCTAACATCACCACCTATAGATCCAAATACAGTATTACTGACACTGTTTCATTTGTGGAAAAGCTTCCTATTCTTGGGGCAACCTTAGGTTTTATTCTATTATTTTTTCCTTCTGGTTTTGCAGCATTACTTGCCAAACTACATTTAGTGAGTCAAGCTAATCTGAAACAATGGCTCTTAATAAACTACAGTGTGTATAATCACTTGAAGAGATGTTAAAACCAGACTACTGGGGGCTGGGGTAATAGTGCAGAGGTAAAGCACTTACCTAACATGTATGAGGCACTGGGTTCCATTTTCAGCAATGTATATACATAAATAAAATAAAGATTCATTGACAAGAAGGTGGAATATGAACCAAGACTACAAGGCTCCACCCTCACAGAATCTGATTCTATAGCTCTTGGCAGGGACTGAGTATGTACATTTCTAATAATTTTCCAAGCAACACTGCTGCTGGCTTTGGGGACTATACTTTGAGAGTCACTGATTTAGAGCAAGAGTCAGCACTTTTTCTGTAAAACGCTAGATGGACAGTGCAACTATTCTACATATCAAAGTGGCCATAGAAAGAATGGGATGGCTATGTCCTAAAAAAGCATTATTTACAAAAATAGGCATCAGTTGGATTTTTCCCCCAGTTCCTAGTTTTCAGACTCCCGATCAGAGGTATGGTAAAAAAGATGATTAGGATGGAATTTATCTTTCAGAAGCTTATGTGTTCTTTTAGATTTATAATTAGTTAATTACTGTTTTTTTCCCCTTCCTGACTAGAATACAACGTAAATTCAAGTAGGCCCCTTAAATAAGTACCTTAGAATTCCCTACAAGTGCGATACTGATATAAGCTTCCGTTTCAACCCTCCACTCAGTGTCTTAGGAAATGAATGTTTTTTATCTTCTATTTTAAAAACATCTAAAATATCATTAATTTCCTTTGTACAAATATCTGGAGGCAATGCTTTCAGCTACAGACAAAAAGAGAATTTATAATGGGATTCTAGTAACCTAATAACCATCTCCATTTCAGAAAGATTTTACACTAGGGCCATTTACACAGAACAAAGTTGGAGAATTCCCTCCTTGACTATCTTACTTTGTCCTGAAAAACGGCTCTTTCCAAAATGAACACTAAAGGCATTCAAAAAGAGAAAACTTTCTCTTTGGCTTACCTGGGCAAAAAAGTAAAGGTGTTCAAATACTGTTAAATAATCAAACAAAAGATCATTTTGTGGACAGAAACCCAGACTCCTTCGAATATGAAACATATCTTTTGTAATCTCAAATCCATAAATAGACGCTTTTCCACTTGTAGGGGGAAAGAGACCTAGGACAAGGAGAAGACAGAGCAGGAACTTATTTTCCATTAGCATCTGATGTGAATATCCCCTTCATGGTTGAATTCAATAATCCCATTTCAATAGCACTCAAATGTTAATCTATACTCATGGAGAAACACAGCTCTAATTGCTGTTAAGGATGAAAAAATACAAAGATAATAGGATTCTGAGCAAGTGAGTTGCTGATGTAAAAGTAGCATGACAAGACTTCCAGCTTACCATAATAATTTATATCAGTGGTTCTTGACCTTAACCTTTACCAGAATCATCTGAGGACCTTTCTGAAAAATATAGGTGCTTGGGTTTTTTCCTAGAGAAAAGTAAGAATTTCTGGGGGCTTCACTTGGCTACTAGTATTTAAAAATCTGTCCAATTGATTCTAACACGTAGCTAGGATTGTGAATTACTGTCTAGATTAAGGTTTTTAATGAATATTTCACTGTTTTGTCAGTTGTCTACTTAGGAGTATTAGTTGTATAAAATTGGATGGAATTTCCCCATGCATATGTCATTTATTTAAGGGAGATATAGATTTAATGAGAACTTGTATTTGCTACTGTGCCCAGTCTCAGAACTGGGTTTCTAAGTGTAGGATCACATTGTCTTCAGAGATAATTTAACTTTATATTTTCCTATTTGTAGCCCTCTAATTTCCCTCTCTCATCTAATAACTCTGGCTAGCATTTAAAGAACTATATTGAATAAGAGTGATGAGAATGTAATCCTTGTGTTTTTCCTAATTTTGGAGGATGTTTTCCATATTTAATCTGTTCACCATGATGCTATTTAGTTAAGTTTCTTTCATCCCACATATGAATGGTGCTGAATTTTGTCAAAGGATTTTTCTGCATCTGTTGAGATAATTTGATTTTTGTTCTAGATGATATTTATGTGAAGAAGTATATTCATTGATTTACATATACTGAACCAAACTTGAATCCCTGGGATGAATCCAATTTGATCATGGTGTACAATCTTCTATTTTTGAATATGGTTTGTTACTATTAGGAATTTTTATGTCGGTATTTATCATGGATATTGGTCTCTAGTTTTCTTTCCTTGATGTGTCTTTTTCTGGTGTTGGGTGATGCTGGCATCACTGAGTTTGGGAGTGGTTCCATTCCTATTTTATAATTTGAGGAAGATTGGTGTTGGTTCTTCTTTGAACATCTGGAAGAACTCAGATGAACCCATCTGATCCTGTGCCTGCCTTTGTTGGAAGACTTTTTTATTACTGCTTCAGTCTCATTGATTCATATTGGTCTGATTAAGGTTTTCTATATTCTCTTGGTTTAATTTGGGGAGGTCATATGTCTAGAAATTTGTCAATATCTTGTAGATTTTCCAATTTATTAAAGTTTTTATATAGTTCCTAATGATCACCTGGTTTTCAGAAATGCCTATATTGATATCTCCCTTTTTACCTCTAATTTTGCTTCTCATTCTTTTGGTTAGTTTGGCTAGGGGTTTATCAATCTTGTTCATCTTTTCAAATAACCAACTCTTTTGTTGTATTGATCCTTTGTACTGTTTTATAATTATTTAATTTCAATTTTAATCTTATTTAGTGTCTTCCACTGGTTTTGGAATTATTTTATTTCTGCATTTATAGGGCTGTGGTTGGATTATTAGGGATTTTTCTTTTTCTTTAGTGGGCATTTAATCCTATAAACTTTCCTCTTAGTACCAACTTCATAATGTCCCAGAAATTTTGGTATGTTTTATCATTTTTCTTGATTCTAGGATTTCTCATTTAAAAGAGTATTGTTCAATCTCCATGTGTTTATGTGGATTATATTTCAATACATATGATCTCACAAGATGGGATAATATAGAGATACTATAGATTTTTTTCTGTATTTGCTAAGATTTGTGTACTAAAATATGGTTTTGGAAAAAGTTCCATAAGCTCCTGAGAAGAAACTGTATTCAGCTTTTGTTGGGTGAAATATTTATTAATGTTTCTTAGGTCTATTTGATTTTAGTATCATTTAGGTTAAAAAAATCTTTATTGATTTTATGTCTGGATGATCTGAGAGAGGAGGAATTGATCTATCTGGCACTCAATGTTAAGGAGTTTGTTTATATAATTAAGTGCACTGTCATTTGTTGGATTGTTCCTTTAAACAGCATGTACAGCCTTCCTTGTCTCTTCTGATTAATTTTGTTTGAAATCTGCTCTGTCAGACATGAGAATAGCCACTCCTGCTTGTTTTCAGACTCTATTTGCATGAAATAACTTTTTCCATCCTTTACTTTTGATGTGTGGGTATCTTTGCCTACAAGTTTCTTGCAAACAGCATATGGTTGGATTTGGTTTAAAAATAAATTCTTCTAATCAGTAAGTTGACATCATTTATATTCAGAGTTAGAAGAGATGTTTATTATTTCAATCATATGGTTTGTTTCATTAATTCCTTCTTAATTTCCATTTGCTTAATTGCTCTTCTGAAGAGCTTCATCAATTTGAGAATTCTGAGGTTTGTTCTTTGTGTATTTCCTCAAGCATTTTATATAGTGCAGGTTCAGTGGTCATGAATTCTTTTAGCTTATCCTTATTGTGCAAATTTTTATTTGTTTCATTCTGAATGATAGGTTTGCTGGATATAGTAACCATGGCTGGCAACTGTTTTCTTTCAAAACTTAAATTATTTCTTGCCTTCTGCTACATTTGCTGTTGTTTTGCTCTTTCTTTTCTAGGGCTTTGAGATGAAGTGTGAGCTCATTTATTTGTTGGTTTTTCCTTTTTGAGGAATGACCTCCAGGTGATGAATTTCCCTCTTAAAACTACTTTCATTGTGTCCCATAGATTCTGATATATTGTTTCTGTATTTTCATTTGTCTCTAAGAATTTTTTGATTTCCTCCTTTATGTCTTCTGTAACCCATTGATCATTCAGTAACATATTGTTCATTTTCCATGTGATGTAGGATTTTTTCCTTCCTTCTTTTATCATTGATTTCCAGTATCATTCCATTATGATCAGATAAAATGCATGGTATTATCTCTACCCCTTTATATTTATTGAGGGTTGCCTTATGGCATAATATATGGTCTATTTTTGAGAAGGATCCATGTGCTGCTGAGAAAAAAGTATATCCACTTGATGATGGTTGATATATTCTATATATGTCAGTTAAGTCTAGGTTATTGATTGTGATATTGAGTTCTATAGTTTGTTTATTCAACTTTTGTTTGGAGGATCTGTCCAATGGTGACAGAGGTGTGTTGAAGTCATCCATAATTATTGTGTTGTGGTCTATTTGATTCTTGAACTTGAGGAGAGTTTGTTTTATGAACGTCGCAGCACCATTATTTGGTGCATAAATATTGATAATTGTTATGTCTTGTTGGTGAATGGTTCCTTTTAACAGTATATAATGTCCTTCCTTATCCCTTTTGATTAACTTAGTCTTGAAGTCGATTTCATTCGATATGAGGATGGCCACCCCTGCTTGCTTACGAGGACGGTGTGTGTGGTATATTTTTTCCCAACCTTTCACCTTCAGCCTGTGTATGTCTTTTCCAATCAGATGTGTCTCCTGGAGGCAGCATATTGTTGGATTTGTTTTTTTAATCCATGTTACCATCCTATGTCACTTTATTGGAGAGTTTAAGCCATCGATGTTTAGAGTTTCTATTGATATATGGTTTGTACTTACAGCCATGTTTGATTATTTATCTTCTTTTTTTTTTTTAAATTTAGTTTGTTTCTCCATGATTAGCTTTCCCCCTGCCCTCTGTCTTTACGGAGGCACTTCCCACTGATGGTTTTGGTTATTGTTTTTCATTTCTTCCTCGTGTAGTGTTTTGCTCAAGATGCTTTGCAATGCTGGTTTTCTGGATGCAAATTCTTTTAGCTTTTGTTTATCATGAAAGATTTGTATTTCATTGTCGTACCTGAAGCTTAATTTTGCTGCATACAGAATTCTTGGTTGGCATCCACTGTCTTTCAGTGTTTGAAATACGTTGTTCCAGGATCTTCTCGCTTTCAGCATCTATGATGAAAAATCCGTTGTTAACCTTATTGGTTTACCCCTGAATGTAATCTGCTTCCTTTCTCTTGTAGCTTTTAATATTTTCTCTTTGTTCTGTATATTGGATATCTTCATACAATGTGTCTTGGCATTGGTCTACTGTGATTTTGTGTGCTCGGTGTCCTCTGTGCGTCTACAATTTGTATATCCGTTTCCTTTTTTATTTCTGGAAAGTTTTCTGTAATTATTTCATTCAGCAGGTTACTCATTCCCT